GTTATGTTCGTCACATGACGAACATCATCACAGCTGGGACTCATTCTTGCAAAAGTCTCAAGTTAACACTAAGTCGAGAAGACTGACCGGCTATTTCCTACATGTTATAATGCACTCATTACGAGAAAAAACTTAAGATGCAAATGGATATAGAAGGTTTTGGTTGGTTCTTTCATACTCGAGTGTGTGCGTGTGTGCGTATGTGCTAACGTCCGTATGCAAAAGAGGCCATAAGTCAGATTAATGTGAAAAAAACCCAACGTCAGCTACGGGTCAGCAAAAAGCACGACCGAGATTGCGTTAGTCCGTAAGTAACTCTGGTTGAATTCACGAGATGTAAGGCTGTACGTGTGAAAGTTAGGTTGCGAAACCACCCTTCATGACCCGTTAGTCTGGGTTCATTAAGTTTTAATGACCAAAGGAAAATCATGTCTGCGATTGCGTAGTCTGGTTGATATGCTTGAACGAGTGTGAATTTGGCCAGAACCATCACTTAGCTGACAAGTCGAGTCGCCTTCTCCTGGACTACGGCCAAACACCCTCTCTCTTACTCAGCTTTCCACCACGATTCTTTACATCTAACGTATTCCATAATCTTTTTCATTTCAATAGCCCCTCTCATCTTGCATTTCATAGCAGACATACCATAACCGGTAAGCCTCTGCATACAAGACCACTTCTGGCCGTTTGACCCAGTTGCTTTTAGAGGCATTTTTGGGATCCGCTAATCTTTGGTGGATCGGCCGACAGGTCTACCAAGATAAGATCAACAACAGGAGCACTTAATCTTGCAATGGCCGTGTCACAGTTCTCTCTAGAAGAGGGCATAACCAAAGAAAGTGTCAGAGTTTGTTTGAAAACTGTCTTTATCCCCATCCCCTCGCTAGGTCGTACATCTTCTTAGAATGAAGGCATGTCGTCACAAAAGGGTTTAAGCTTGCCTATCTCTGGCCAAATATTCTCCGTCTGAAAATGTATTCCTTGCTAGAGTTATATTATTATGAATTAAGCC